ATTGCGATAATAGAAGCCAACTCCATCACTCTCCTTGCCCTCGCGATCCAGTCGGAAAAAATTATAATCGGCTAGGGCGAGGTGGTCATCAGAGATGATGTTACAAAGTTTGGTTTCAGAAATGAAAATAATGTCATATGCACTTATATGTGCCTGTGCTTCAAAAAGAGAGAAGTGCCACGGCACGTTCAGGCCGTTTATGTTGATGTGCGCAACGGTGAGGGAAGATCGAGAGGGGATGGAGGCGGTAGCAGGATTATTCACAGGAACCGTTGAATGTCATGAGGTTTGAGCTGAGTTAAGGGTTGGCGACTGTGAAGAGGAGGCAGATGCAGATAAAGTGAAGCTCGGTGTATTTGCAAGTGGTCGGATATGAAGATCAGAGCGAGGAAGTCGGAGATTGTGGTGGGCACCGCCAAGAGGAGCGAATGGTGCGGCCGCAGAGTGAAGGGGGTTAGGAGCTCCCGCCGAGCGTGCGACAGGTTGGCGAGGTGCCAGCCTCGGCAGACCACGCAGGTCAGCCTCAGAGACGATGGGCTTCGAGTGATGGGCTTCGACAATGATCTTCGACTGCGGCGTGGCGCAGCAGAAGACCCGCTAGTTTCGCACCACAGGCCACGCATATCCGAGATCATCACTCACTTTTCTGGCTTTGGATAAAAGCTCAAAAACAGGCTTGGGATAGATTGGGCGTAGTAGGACTCGTAAGCCGCCTCCACAGCCAAAGATCGTCTGCGCAGTATGCTCCTTCAGTCTGGACGAAAACTTGATGATTCTATCACGAGAAGACGGTGAATCCAGCAGGAAAGTGAACGATTTCCGTCGAGTATGTTGACTTAAGTGAGAGGATGATTGCGGCTGATTTATAGGCGCAGCAGAGCGAAAAGTGGCAGTGGGATTCCACTCCCTCGTCGCAATAATCGCAGGCAGGTTATGCTCTTCACTTAAACCCAGCGCAATGAGGACAGAGGTAGCGGCCTGGAAAAGGGAACCTTGAAATTCAGCAGGCAACCCATGGACCAAGATTTCAGGCTCATCGACTATTGCTAAGTGAACGTCATACTCGCGAAATTCCTCCTGCGTTTTAGTCCAGAGTCCGCAAAGCTTCTCAAAGGGCTCAGAATTGAGTTGCGCTTCCTTCGCATGCCGCTCCGTGTTAAGCTGCAACTCCCTACGGAACCACTTAGGTGCCTCAGACATTGCCGAGTAATTGGTGTTCCGACCTGTAATCGGAGGCAGCTCAGATCTATAAACCTTGGTGATCGGCAGCAGTGATGGCTGAGTTGGTGAGGCAAGACGTTTCTTGGCGAGTATAATAATAGAGGGGGAGTGTCCTGTGGGCGTAGCGAAGATATCCAAGGTATTGGCTTGAGTTGTATCGTCGTTCGGCGAGCGGTTGAGGCAGCAGTTAAATTCGGCAGAAATGTAATTGACTGGTCCTGAATTGGGTGAAATGCAGAGGTTATGGTAAAGGGAATTACAGGAGTTGCAGAGGAGGAGTTGATCAGGTCGTCGTACGATCAATTCGCACTTGGCACACGCGCGACTTGACATAAATAGGCAAGATAAGTTTAAAAAGAATAGAAATGCCTATAATAATTTGAATGTTCGCACGCAAATTCAAGTGAACCAGGAAGGCGCGCAAATTCAAATGACGCAGTGGCGCACGCAACTAACCAGCTATGATAAACTCGGTAAAGTGTCCTCTACCGAGAAAAAGCGAATTATAGAGAGTGTGGCGGGAAAATCAAAATGCGTGCGAAAGTGATGCTAGCAATAATGAGGAATGCGAAATAGAGATTAAGAGGAAATTTGGCGCGGAAAATTCACAAGATGACGTAACCCGACTTAAATGTACGTTACAACATAAGATTAAAATGAATGATTATGAAAATGATAATAAAGATGAAAATGTGAATTACGCTAAATGAATCGAGGTGAGATGGAGTCTTAAAATTAAAGATGATCGATTACAGGTTCGCAAAAGTAATAACAAATAATAGAGAAAATGAACAATATAGAGTAGTTACAAGATGTAGACAGGACAAAATATTCCTCACTCAACCGACAAGAAAAAATAGTTGTTCTAGCGATGATATTCGTCGTTGGTAGAGCTAAGACAGCCAGGTTGATGATGAGATGTCCTGGTGCAGTTGTGGTACGGTAATTGATTCCGTTAGTAGAGTGACATATGTGGTGTTGATTCAGGTGAAAGAGGTTAAGTGATGCTGGTTGCACAAGTAATGCAAATTCCAGGGCAAAATACAAATAGTTATGCATGAAACAGCGTACACTTGTTAACCCCGTGGAAGATGCACTACCTGGAACAGTTTACTCGAAAGTGTGATGCCAAATGGTTGGATAAATAGTATTTGTTGAAGAGTCGTTGAAAAGATGCTGTGATGCTTACCATAGAGAGAGAGAGAGAGAGAGAGAGAGAGAGAGAGAGAGAGACGACCTGACCTGGCGAAGGCTGCTGGCAAGAATCGCCGTTGATGCCGCTGCAGTAAGTGTTGCTGAAGTTGCTGGCAGGAACTGTTGCTGGTAATTCCGCCGCAGGCAGGAAATACTGCTGGACTGCTGGCAGGCTCATGGCAGGCTCGGATGTGGATTCCTGCTAGAGTCGTTGGAAATCCTCTTTCCTTGCTAAAATCTGCATGTTGTCCTCCGCTTCTTTGTCTGATTTGCTCTCTTTCAGGTGCGCACGCTCGGCCGTTGAACGATCCGTCTACCTCTGAATCTCGGCTGGAACTCTCTCCCCTAATCGTTTGCGCGTCGGCACTCGCGACGCGTCATTCTCTCTCTCTTCTTCTTGCCGCAGCCGCTCTCACTCCCAATTGGCTCCTAATAACGATGCCCGGCTCAGGTATTGGTCCTGAAATAAAGCGGTGCGAGCATCGGTATCGGTTCGTAATTTTCAAACACTCGCCAGGGCATCAGCGAAGGAGCGAGTTAGTTTGAGTTATAATATTAATAGAAAAAGAATTAGTTATAGTAAACTAATGCAATTTAATGTATCAGCGATGGTTATTTTAATTTAAGCCTTGTGATAGTATAGTTATTTGGAACTTGATTTTTCTGCAATTATGAGTTGTCAGTTACTGAAATGAAATTGACAATGAAGCCTTTCGTGTCATAATTTGCAATCAAACCTGCGTATTTCACATTATATAACAAATAAAACTATGCAGCAATCTATTGAAATCTATTTTCCATTTATAATTGTAGTATAATTATTGAAATACACTGAAAATTACTATTAAAATATATTATTATTGTGAGACTAGGAAAACCGCTTGATAGCGATTTCTCTGTCGTCTCTGGCCTCTCGATATTTGCGCGCGCTATCGTTAAGCCGGGAATGAATGTAATTGCGTTAGCGCATCACTAATGTCCAGTTTATATAATATAAAGTGCTGCTTAGCATCTTAGGGAACTGAGAACAGAGGAACTGTGTGACTGTCTGCAAGGCGTACGGGAAAGGGAGACAAAAGAAAGAATAAAAGAATCCGGCAAAAGAGGAAACAGAACAGTTTTGGTGCAGAGATTTGGCTTGGTGGATCATCGGTAATAGCAGCAGAAGTTGTATAGCTGTATTCTGTTCGGAGAGACATCGGTGGTGCAACGAAGACGATGATTATTTATCGCTGCGGATCACTGCAGAACACTGCATTTTGGTTTGGTCTGGAAAGCTGGATCATCCACGGCCACTGCAGTAGATTCGACGGCGTTTGGTTGATTACTATCAACGTCCGAGTCTACTAGAAAAGAAGGTATGGCAGTTCGTGTCAACCAAGCTAGAGTGAGCTCTCTTTTCCCGCTTTCCGTTCATCATTGGTATACACATGACAACCACGATGTCGCAGACTCTGGACGGCCTGGTGCTTCGCAGTAAGCAGGATTGCAATCGCTGAGTGATCTTTAGTTGTCCGAGTCTGCCGGAGAGACTCACTACTGCATACCGTTCAGCATTTCCGATTTGTAGTGGTTGAGCACCTCTCCCTAAATATCGTTTCGCTCTGAGCGCTTGTTCGGATGGAACATGTCCGCAAAACACTGTTCTTTTAAGATTATTTTAAGTTTATAATTTTTGTTATATTTTCTTTGTATTTAAATTAATTTTTGGCATTGGAATTTTTAAATGTATAAAATTGAGTTTGATTTATTCCTTCTTCCCGTTCCAGGCTGTCTCGCGCACAAACGCCGTAAACTGCATGTCTGTCAGGTTGCTTAGTAGCCGAAGCATTTTCTCTTCCGGATCCCCGCGTAAATAATTAAGTAAATAGAGTCGCGGGCCAACATTTACTGTAAATTCGAACTCTTCCTTTACAATTATAATATACTAAAAAATAATTTATTATTTGATAACATGAAATCAGTACTGTATGTAAATTCATGAAATAATCTAGTAAAATTCCGAAAAAGATCATTTATTTTTCAACTACTTATCTTCATTTACAGGTACGGATAAGCTTCCATGTAATCATTACCTTTTGATACCTGCTAAATTTTCCGTTCTACAGTCTAAACCAAATAACAATATTGTTAAAAAAAAGGTTAAAAAAGTAGTTATTGGAAAGAAATAATAATTTGAATTATGCAAAACGCAAATATTTCATTTTTAATTCTTATATCGTTCAAAATTACTTTCATGAATGTTGCATTTTCAAAATATATTGTATTATTTGTTGTTTCTATATCCTGATGTTCAATATAGCTTTATTTGGAGTTATTAAATGTTAAATAAACAATTTTTCACCTGTACTATTATAATTTAAAAATTTTTTGAATTTTCCCTCCTAAGATCTACGTTGTCAAGTTAGAATCGATTACTTATGTAGTTCTTATTAGATCTTGAGGGTGTGTATCAAATATGAAAAATGCGCTCTCAAAAGAAATACTTAATTTTATTTGCAATCTATAAATATCCATAATAAAATCTATAATAAAAGATTTATAGACATGATAGTATATTTAAATGTTTCCATCTATTTTTACAGGGTATAACAATAAAACCATTAGTTAAATTTTTGAATGTCAAAAGAGCAGAAAAAAGGAAGCCTACAATGAACGAGCGTCTTCATGAAAAGGTAAAATTCTCAATTTTACTACGAAACTAATTATAATTTACTGTTATGATAAAAATGTTTGTAATAATTAGTTAAAAGTCATTGAATAGAAATTGAACATAAATTTTTGTTATAAATTTCGTAGGTATTGTGGAAATAATAAAGCTATGGATATTCTGACAAGTATGGTATTGTGATCACTACGAATAATAATATTTCTGACAGATCCTATAGCGTGTGTTGATATGTTTTGGAATACGTTAAGGTATTTATATACCCGTCTCTCTCTCTCCAAAATTCGCATACGTTGGTCTATTAGCAAAGGCTGATCTTAAGGAATCAACCGTGATTTATGGCCAAAACGTGTCCAAATCGCTCACCGTCAGTCCGAACTACCGAAATATGAATAATTGTCTGGTAGCAAAGATAGTGTACGCAATTGGCGTACACAAATGGCGCAGACTTGGAAAATTCCGTAAAACCACACATACATATGTATACTCTATATATATATATATATAGAAAGAGAGAAAGAGAGAGAAAGAGAGAGACATTCAGATGACTTTCTCAGAAATGTCTGAGATAGACGTTATTTCAGGTGCCTTGTTCGGCCTCTGGCTAATATTATATATTATCTGGCCAAAACTAGACGATGTTAAAGTAATTTAGCCTAGGATCAAATGAATAAATCAAGGATAGGTTAGTCTTGAGATTTATTTCCTTATATTTAATTTGTTAGAAGAGAGAATGTTTATCACGATAACTCCAACGAATAGAATCTATACTTGTTACTGTTATTTGTACAGAATAGAAGAAACAACTATCATTTTTTTTTATTTTGTTTGATACCGTTTTATTTATGCTCCATCAATGCTAATCAGCGACGAAGGCTTAAAATGTGTTTGAAATGAAGCACGTTTAACTTGTTTCAGTGGTGCTTGTATCAATCAGCAGGGACTAGGAATCGAATCCAGGCCAATAAATAAATATAATGCGAACTCGAATATAAAATAGCGATACCAGCATTGAAACAGATGTAATAGCGTCGGCGTGCAATACCGATATATTCACTACTATTACCAATTATTTATAAAGGGGGAAGGCAAGGGAGGCGGTGTATCGCTCCAAGCAAAGCAGGAAGGAGAACAGCGGGCGAAATAACTTCACACACAATTCGTTGGCAAACCGTTTATTACAAGGCACTACCTCGAGTGCCGACGAGAACACAAATCACTTATTACTATTAACACGCGAACTTATTCTAAACGAGATGACCGGCACGTTAGCGCCATGTCACCTCATTAACCGGCTCAAACAATTACTTAAATTTACATACTGCCGAAAACTACGCCGGCTCGGAAAAGCCTGGCGTAGCAACGCGAACCGTGAGAAGCGCCGAGGAAAGACAGAGATATAGAGAGAGAGGAATCGGTGACCTGACCAAATTGGTGGACGTCGCTGTTGCTGGCAGCCTTGAAGGTGTCCCACCGAAGGCTAGTCTAGAAAACTCCTCGCTGCTGCGTGGCCGGCGACCTGGCAGAAAAGGCTGTCGGGTTCTGCCTCGGTGACGGCTTCTTACAGGGCAGCTGCTGCGTCGCTGGCAGAGGAAGTCCCGTCCGGCCGATCTGCTGAGGAATGCTGACTTGTTCCGGACAAAGGGCAGGCAGCGATGGTCACCAGCTAACTCTCGACTGATTGCTGTCGCGCGCGTCGCGTCACTCTCCGTCGCGAGTGCGTGAGAGCCGGCTTCTCACGCTTTTCTCCCACCACTCGCCTAATCGGCGGCACGCGGCAATGCCCGTCGCGACAAGTGCCGCGCGCCAAGCCCAATACTCAAACTATTGCTTTCTCTCTCTCTCTGTCTCTCTCTCTCTCTCTCTCTCTCTCTCTCGCACTCTCAATACTCGAACGCGTCGTCGCGTCCACGGCTTCTCCTTCCACCGCTCTCGTGCGTAGCTGAAAAATAAAGGGCAGGCATCAGGCACGTGATAACAACGTGCGCTTGATGCCGGCCGTGCGCCCTTGCCTAGGAAGGAGAGGGAGATAAGCGAACGGTGCAGGCCATGACGGGCCTACACCGTCACACAGAAGCAAGAATTTGATACTTTGATAACTGATTTTTAACAGAGTTATCAATCAATAACAATTTTATTATTTATTTAAACATTTAAAATTACATTGCGAGATAGCGATTTAAATGTACATACATGAAAAGTTAGTGAAAATGATTTATATCTGATTGTTGATTCATTATTTAATTATTATTTAAATGCCGTTTGTTAAATAGGTGATTTTGATGTTCAATAATGTTTCGTGTATTATAAAAAAATATTGGGGTAAAAAATTATAATAATTTTATTGTAAATTTAGTACTATTTATTTATTGAACTTTAAGCGTTTATGACTTTGAGAGGCGATTTTTCCTGAAGAAGTGATTTATACTAAAAATTCGACATTTTCAACTTAATTTTTTTTAAATCACCAACTTCGAACTTTGCGTGCGTGTTTTCGCGACAAAGCTTATTTAAAGTTTGTACAAATGTCAAAAATAACGTTGTAGGAGCCACCAAGCGTAAAAAGGAGCCTCTTTAGCAAGTATAAATTCGCTCATCTCTGCGGCAAGAAGGTACTTCGAATTCTAGCTGCCTAGCATTGTGAACACTGTTTATTTTCACCGCTATTTCCTGAGATTGATTTTCGTTATTTAGTAATTAGCCCTGCTACATGATAGTCTAAGAGGTCAATTTATAAGACCTTCTCTCTTATTAGAAAAAAGCAACCTTAGACTATTTCCTCTCCTGATCATATTAATACAGCCAAGAGATTTGATTGAGATTTGATTTTTTATTTATTCCGGCGTTATTCCGGGTCTTTTCCCGATAGATGCAACGATTCTTAGTCTTATTTTAAATGGCATGTTAAAATAGTGAACTGTGTTGATTGATACTATGTTCACTGTTCGATGCTTGATTTCCATAGTGATTCTTGAAATACATAGACAACTATTATTTCAGTCATTTCGAGTATCTAATACTGTACGTTTTTCAAAATCTGATGGTGTATTAAATTATAAACCTTGAATCTTATTAAGTCTTAAAATTCACTCAATTGTGCAGTTTATTTCCAAGAACCAATACGAGTACATATACAATGAATGGCTTGCATCTCTCTTCAAAAGTGCAATATAATTACATATTCCAAATAGTTACTTAGTTGAAAAAGTGATTTTACTTCATTTTATTGAAACCATAATGCGTTGATGGCATCACGAAAATAAGTGAGTTTTATCTTCTGGTCATGCTGAAACACTCACTCGAATAAGAAACGGCTACTTTAAGTTCTATAGAACGTAAGATTGCTAACTCGTTATGTCTCTCTCTACCTTTTATTTAATGAGTAGTATTAATTAATAAGTATAATTATGTTATATTATTATGTTGTAAGATGTATATACAATGCCAAATTTATACATTTATGTTCCGGCACAAGGTAAGTGAGAGGAAGAGAGAGAAGAGTGTACTTAGCGATAAGCTCTATGTGTGATAGCGAGACATAGAGAGAAAGATAGACGTATTCGCGTGACGTTCGAGTGATCGTGCGCGCTGATTGGCTGTTACGAACACAATACAAGGAGAATTTCCGGGAAGCCTAACAATCTTCGCTCTTATCTTCAAAGCGACAACCCATATACTCTCGTGGCACGAAATCTTTGCCGGCTTCTTCGACAACTCAGTCTCTTTTTCCTCTTGGTGTGTGACCTTGATCTTCTGGCGTGTGTTTGTGTTGTGATTGACTGTGGTGTTATGGTGTCACACATGACGCACTATTACATGAGAATTTTTCCGTGTTTCTTACCGCATACGTATTTGGCAGAGATTTAATTTTGACCCGCAACGAAGAACGTAAACTCACCCTCTGTGAGTACTCATTCGACCGCTCTCTCTCTCTCCCACTCACTTAGTTTGGTTCTCTCTCTTTCTTAATCTGCTTTATAATTCGTTTATTATTATTAATGCCCATTAAGTTCATATACATCCATGCATTTCGTACGCTTGTCCTTTTGCGTTAGCCTCTATTCGCGTACCGTCATATTTCGCGCCTATCAGATGTGATGTTACCCGCGTAATAATTTGACCTATGGGCAATATATTGCCAATATTTTTCCCACACCTATGGGCAATATGTTGCCAACATTTTGGATCAGGTATTGGCAACATATTAGCAATATGGTGCTTCAGACCACTTAGCAACATTTCGGCAACATGTTACAAAAGTATTGCAAACCTTGCGCCAACATATTGCTAATATATTGATATTTGATTTGAAAAATATTGCCAACAGTTCAGTTTTTATTTTGATTCTAAATATTTCTAAGTTATTATAATACATCGGGAGACGAGAAATACAAGGCACAAGTGATTAAAGGAACTGTAATGCTTTATTTTTATAATTTTTTGAATACAATATATTATTTAATTTTTAAACCTTAATTTAGTTTTTATTTGAACGATTACTTTTCATAAAAAATCCGTGAAACTTGAAATAGTAATTAACACTAATTAATTAACTATAACGAAAAGTAATCGAAATAAGACTCACATTGATTCTTGAAAGGCGTTTAAAAAAAAGTAACGAAAAATAATAGAAATGAAAACATTTATCTTTCTTTGGGGTGGCGTAGTGTGCCACACATGTAATTGACCACGTTTGTGAATTCTTGTGGTTTCAATCTCCTGCTACACTTCTTATTGACATAATCTAAAATTTTTTTTAAATTTGAAAAATTTAAAACAATTATAATTAATACGCATGTAAAATAGAAAGCTATAAAACTTACACTCAACGCATTTCATTATGTCCTCAGGAACTCCTCTGCGTCCTCTAGACTTTCCTCGTGCACACATGTTTTTCAAGTTTTCTTTTCCAACAAGAATTGTTAATAAGCTTCTTGTCATTTGTTTAGGATCCTCCATGTATCTTTGGATAAAGTCCAGTTCGCCTTTGTCAACCCATATGTTATA